ACAAACGGTGACACTTCCCTGCTTCTGCCCTGCAGAGGTGGAGAGGCAAAGCCACCTCATCCTGCAAGGCCACACCGGGTCCAGGCTGAGAGGTGCTGGAACTGCAGTCAAAGGGGCTGGGGGACAGGGTTAGTGTTGGGTGGGCAGAGGGAGGGGAGGATGGCACTGCTGGCACCGGGAGTGGCAAATGACTCTGATTCCATTGCTTTGAAACACCTGCAGCTCTGAAGGGACATTTTCTCTTCTTGTTCCATACTCCCAGTGCATCACAGAAAAGTTGAGGAGGATGTCATCCTGCTCCTCTGAAAGGCAGAGGGGGGATTGCAGCCCCCCTCTCAGAGGCTGAGCAGGATGGGGATGGGGGAAAGAGGGATGTGGGGATGGGGGGATGTGGGGATGTGATCCTGGCTGCCCCAGGCAGCCCAGGACACACCTGAGGCCCCAGCAGCACCTGTGTCCCTGCTCAGGAACGATGGATAAGGGGCAGAGTTTGTTCAGGCCTAACTGGAAACACAGAGGTTGTGTTTAACATATCAACAGGCAAGAAAGAAAGGGTGATTTATAAATATTTGCATGCTGTAATGGTCTTTAGGAAGGATCAGCTGGGCTGAGCACAGCGGGGCCATTTCTCCGGAGGAGCAGCCGAGCTGTTCACAGGTTTCATTTCCAGCACTCCAGCAGTAATGGGCAATCCCTCAGTCTGATCACACTCCTGCCTCCAAATGGCACTCCACGAGGGAGCACCTCCAATGCAGCGTGTTCCTGCAGCCCCATGCACGGGAGGTGCCCCTCAGACAGCCGGAGGTCACCGGGATGGGTGGGGATGGCAGGGATGGCACTGCTGAGGGATGGCAGGGATGGCACCCCTGAGTGAGGGCAAGCACAGCCCATGGCTGGCACTCCTGAGTGATGGCAGGGATGGCACACCCGAGTGATGGCAGGCACAGCCCGTGGCTGGCACTCCTCAGGGATGGCAGGGATGGCACTCCTGAGTGATGCAGGCACAGCCTGTGGCTGGCACACCTGAGGGATGGCAGGGATGGCACACCTGAGCGATGGCAGGGATGGCACACCTGAGGGATGGCAGGGATGGCACTCCTGAGGGATGGGAGGCACAGCCCGTGGCTGGCACACCTGAGGGATGGCAGGGATGGCACTCCTGAGTGATGCAGGTACAGCCTGTGGCTGGCACACCTGAATGATGGGAGGCACAGCCCGTGGCTCTTTGTGGCAAACAACGTGGGCTCAGCTGCTCAGCTTCAGCTCCTGGTGGGAGCAGCGCAGCAGTGGAGGGGGTCAGACCTCTCACATCTGCGTGCTTTGCTGGCCCAGGAGCCACAGAGAGCTGCAGCCTGACTCCTGCTGAATTCTGAGTTCTACAATTCCATTCCAAACCGGAGCTGAGGCCACGCTGAGGGGGGAGCAGGGAAAGCAGCCTGGCAGGACTTTCCCCTGCCTAGGAAGGGACTAGAGACCCTGAGACTGTCCTGAAGACAGCTGTGGACATGATCAAATATTTAAATCTTCTTCTCTAGCTGTTCTCTCTGTTGGGAGGGGCTTTTCTGAAACTTCAACCCCTCTGTAGTGGGATGCACATGAAGAGAAAGAGAAGGCTGTTTTGTGGGATGCACAAAAGAGAAGCAAAAAGAGAAGAAAAAGGTGAGGACAAGGTAACCCTGGGGTGACACAAACCCTGGGAACAATGTCTGCATTTAGATCCCAAAGGCAGAGGAGCTTCAACACAAACCACCCACCCTGAGAGGGTTTGGGTGCAGCTGCTGTGGCTTGGGCTGGACACCAGCTCAAGGACAGGGGATGAAGGTGCTGCAGAGTTTGCCCAGGCCCCAGTGGCAGATGCTGCAGTGCCCACCCTGCACTGACCCACGGCTGCATCACCAGGTGACAAAACTCAGCAGGCTCTGTGGATGGAAGGGCTGTGGTAATTATGACATTTCCTCTATATATGCTAAAATCAGCACTGTGGAAAGAGGCCATAAATAATACAAGATGTGGTAAGAAAACAAGAGCAAAGCCTCCACCCTCCAGTCAGAGAATGAACAAAATTTGCTTCCTCCAATAAGGAACAGGAGAAAAGTGGAGTTTATCCTAAGAGGGGCGGAGTGCCACTGCTGCCGTGCCGGGGGTCACCATTTACAGCACCCTCAGACCCTGGGGGCAATTCGTGGCCCCAGGGCTTCCCAGCTGAGGGATGGAGCTGCTCCCAGGGCAGCCAGCTGTGCTCTGGCCTCTCCTGCACAGCCAGGAACCTGCTCTGCTCTTCTCTGCAAGGCTTGGCTTGGACACAGAACCTGCTGGTGGTGTGACTGTGGAAGCACCATGTGGGGCCGGGATAAAATACCAAGGGGAAATGGAGGGGTTTTAATAATGTCTATTTTTATTTCTACTAGATGCCAACCATCTGAGCTAATAGAATGTAATTGGAAGACTCAATTTAGTAATTTTCTTTATTATTATGTCTTGATGTACTTCTGTCAACTCCAAAATACTCATTACATGTAATTAGGAGGAAGATTAGAGTGCCGTTAAGATGTGGAATAATGATGCAGCTCAAGCAGGGCCAGTAGAAAAAACAACCCGCTCAGGAAAATATCTCCAAAGTGCTGAGCAGAGGAGGGCATTTAAAAACTGATAAAGCTGAGAGCCGGTGCCAAATAATGAAGGTGAGACTTTGAAGTGGGGCAGAGTTGATCCACTGAACCAAAGCAGTTGATGACTCTGCCTCATCTCAAGTGGATCCCTCGTGTTTATTTGCGTGGCTGAAGTAACATTAATAAGATAATTCCCTAAGAACCACCCTCTGTGTCTTTTTCCTAAACTCCCACCCCAAACAACATAATTAATTTTGCTGTTGTACAGAAGAATAATAATAAAAAATCCTTTGGGAGGTAGATGGTAATTTCTCTCTGATGGAAATTGAGATTAGACACAGCACATAAAACTTTTTGATAATTTATTCACCAGAAATTGCCGTATTATACCTATCAGAGAGCTGGTGATACGAAACTTAACAAGCTGATATTTCACTCTGATTTCCTTGAGCATGATCCAATTTATTAAATCAAAATTCTAGATTAGCTTTAATACGAAAGAAGATTTTTATATTCCAGACTAATGTATATCAGAATGTACAAAACCGATAATGGGAGCCCTGCCAGGAGTTAAGTTTTGTGCAGCTCTGAGAGACAGGCTGAGAAGGAAAAGGAGAAATTTCCCCAAATTTCTGAGTATTTCTGTGGAACTGAGGGATAAGAGAGGAGAAAAGAGCGCAGGGCTGTGCTGCAGCACACCACGAGGCATTACCATGGGGGAAGCTATTTCTGGTTCTATCATCAGCTCCCCATATGACAGCACAGGAATTATTTCAGGACACAATCGCTTTTCCAATGGCTGGGGAATAAATAGCAAAAGAGCTCGAGAAGCCCTTGCTGGCTGTGCCTCACCCTCTGCAGAGCCTCGCTGGGCACAGGCTGCCACGGGCCCGGCGCAGCCCCACCAGCGCTGGTGGCCACCGCCAGTGGGGCCAAAGGTCCCACCCAGTGGGTGCCAGTGGCCAGCCCGGCCAGGAGGCAGTGCCCACCATGGCCCCTGGCAGGCTCTGCACGGGTCTCCCCTCTGTTGGTGCCCTCTCTGGGTGATGCTGCGAGGCCCCGGCTTTGCCCCTGCCCTCCCTGGAGGGTGGAGGGAGGAGAAGGCGTGCCAGGGATGGGGTGCCAGGGCTGCAGGAGGCTCCTGGTGCCCGGGCTGTGCCGGGGAGCTGGGGGCACCCCAGGGCAGAGCTGGGGACAAGGAGACTGCGGGAGCACGGAGCGAGCTCAGACCATGCCCAAAACATGAATTGTGAGTGCCGAGCCCTGAGGGGTGCCAGGCTCGGAGAGAGGAGAGGGACGAGCCTTCCTCAGGCCAGCAATGTTCCTGCAGCAGGTGTGCCGAGATGTCCCCGCGTCCCCTCGCTGCCGGGGACATCGCTGCACCAGCGCTCAACCCCGGAGCGGCCGCTCCTGGCAGCCAGCGGTGCCAGCGGTGCCAGCGGTGCCAGCGGTGCTCCGAGCCCGGCCGTGGCACGGCGGCGCTGCAGACGGGCCCCGGCCCTGCCGATGGCTCCCGCCGCAGCCCAGTCAATCCCCCCGGCCTGTTTCTGGGTATCTGTGGCTCACAGGCGTTTTTCCTGCTCCTTAATTGCCAGTTTCCTGAGAAACCATCGCAGGCGGCCAATGGGCTGCGCGGCTCTGGCTCAGCGACTGGAGACAACTGGGAAAAATAAATCCAGCGCTATTGGTAAATTGAGCGGCACTTTCCTAAGTACAGCACGTATTTATAAACAACACATCTGCAGGAAGCAGAGCCCCCCCGCTTTGCTGAGGAGGTCTCTGGAGCCCTTCTCTCCCACCCTCCGCGGTGGGGGCACGGAGTGGGTCCCGGTGGTCCGGGTCCGGGGAGCGGCTCTGGCCCCCTTCCCTTCCCTTCCCTTCCCTTCCCTTCCCTTCCCTTCCCTTCCCTTCCCTTCCCTTCCCTTCCCTTCCCTTCCCTTCCCTTCCCTTCCCTTCCCTTCCCTTCCCTTCCCTTCCCTTCCCTTCCCTTCCTTCCCTTCCCTTCCCTTCCCTTCCCTTCCCTTCCCTTCCCTTCCCTTCCCTTCCCTTCCCTTCCCTTCCCTTCCCTTCCCTTCCCTTCCTTCCCTTCCCTTCCCTTCCCTTCCCTTCCCTTCCTTCCCTTCCCTTCCCTTCCCTTCCCTTCCCTTCCCTTCCCTTCCCTTCCCTTCCCTTCCCTTCCCTTCCCTTCCCTTCCCTTCCCTTCCCTTCCCTTCCCTTCCCTTCCCCTGTCCCTCTGTCACTGCCCCCTGTCCCTCTGTCCCACTGTCCCTCCGGCTCTCCCCTACATTCTTTAATCCCGATCTGAACGCTGATCTCCCAAAGCATTCTGCCTTCCTGAGAGCCCGTCCAGATTGGTGCAGCAATTTTAATAAACAAACTGAAATCCTTGGAGAAGCCACAATACAGCACTGGTGATTTTATTCAGCATTGTAATAAAAGTGGTGCACGAGATCTAAATAAGAGAAGAGATGTCTGTGCTCGGTATTAGTCACTGCTCAATCACAGCTCGATTCAAAGCGTTTCACTGCTACAAAGAAATCAGCCTGTGAAGTCCCCCTAGCACAGCCTGCGCCTTCCTTTATGCTTTTAATGCCTGATGATGTTTGGGAAGCTCGAAGTCTTTTAGTAATCAAAGAAAGCCATTCTGGTAGCTGGTAAAAGGCTGGGAAACACAGAGCCCGTTAATTTTGGAGGAGTTCACAGGGAACTGGGGCAAAGGATATAAAAGATAGAATGGCACAGAGCTGGGGCTGAGCTGGGGGAGCCGCAGCACCTCGCCAGCTGTGTGGCACAGGGCTGGCACTGGGAATTTCTGTCCCCACATCCACAGCCCATGCCCAGCACAGCCCTGGGGACCCCAGCTGTGCCCTGTCAGCTCCGTGGGCAGGGGAGCCTCTGCTCCCCACGCTGGAATCGGAGCCCTGAGAAGCTGCCCCGGCCTCCTGGTGCTGCTGGCACAGCTGGGAAACTGAGGCAGCAGCCAAGGGACTGCCCGAGGGCGGGCGGGCAGGAGCTGTGGCTCCTCTGTGTGGGGTGGAGAGCAGAGCGGCTCTTGGTGGCACTGACCAGCCCCGAGTGCCGGACAGCCCTGCCCAGCCCGTGCCCACCGAGCCAGCGGTGGCACCGGGGCTGGCCTGAGGAGCTGGGCACCCACTCTGCCTCCCTGCAGCTGCAAGTCCCTCTCTCATCTGTCTGAAATTCACACCTCAGAACCCGTGTGCTTCGAGCACAGAGCAGCCAAAGTCTACCTGGAACAATTCCAGCAAGGGGTCTTGGAAATGAGGAGTTCGGTTTCTTTCTTCCCCTGCAGCAAATCCATCATTTTTCTGCAGGGTGACACTTAATCTTTGTGTTTGCCCTCAGAGCCCGAGCTCCCACTGTAGTTCTGATTGAGATCAAGCTAATTTCAGCTGGCCAACACTCACCATTTGCCATTCCACCTGTTGGAAGCAAAATTGGAACTGGTATTTATGATGAAGATTAGCTCATGGCCATTAAGCGCTCTGGGCTGAAGATGGATATTTGCTGTCAAAGCGGTGGTGGTGATTTGTCTCAGAAAAAGTTCCCTCAGCTCTCTGAAGCGGCTGCCACAAAGCTCTGCTGGCACCAGGAGCCGCAGTGTTCCTGAGCCGCGTTTCAGCGGCGCTGAGGAGCTGACCCCGAAACGCGCCTGCAAAGACAAGAAGGCAGATCTGGCTCTCCCTTCCCAGCCCGGATCCCTGATTCACTCTGTGCTGGAGCAGCATCAAACAGATGGCGGGAAAAGAGACAAGGAAATAAATTCTTTTCTACAGTCTTTGCTGCTCAAAGAAGATGGGGATTAAAGCTAATCTGACAGTTGCAAAATATTCAAACCAGGCCCCAAGGTCTGTCTTTAAAACTTGCCCTGCGAGTGACGGCAGCGGCAGCACGTCAGCACTGGGTCAGCCCTCATGGCCCAGAGCTTCCAGAACCTTCCATCTGCCACGGACCAGAGCTTCCAGAACCTTCCATCTGCCACGGACCAGAGCTTCCAGAACCTTCTGTCTGCCACAGCCCAGAGCTTCCAGAACCTTCTGTGTGCCACAGCCCAGAGCTTCCAGAACCTTCCGTCTGCCACAGCCCAGTGATTCCAGAACCTTCTGTCTGCCATGGCCCAGAGCTTCCAGAACCTTCTGTGTGCCACGGCCCAGAGCTTCCAGAACCTTCTGTCTGCCACAGCCCAGAGCTTCCAGAACCTTCTGTCTGCCATGGCCCAGAGCTTCCAGAACCTTCTGTGTGCCCCGGGCAGGGCGGGCAGGCCAAGCTGGGGCTGGGGGAGGCTGCACAGGGACGTGTCCAGCTGCAGACAGACCCTGTCTCCATGGGGCCCTGTCCCCACGGGGCCATGTCCCCCTCGTGTCACCGCTCCCGGTCCCGTTTCCCAAACCATTCGGAAATGGAAAAAACAGATACAGAAATGGAATGCACGGGTCCCTCCCCACCTTTAAAACCAGCTCACTGCCAGTGCCTGACTGCCACATCCCAGCCTGTCCCCAGGGCAGCTCCCAGTGGGAGCAGGCACCACGGGATCCTTCAGATCACCTGAGCACGAGGTTTCCAAAAGAGACTGTTCCCTTCTTTCCCACAGCAGCGTTTTTGAAAATCTGCCACATTTTTCTTTCTAAATAAACCAGCCCAAACTGCCTCCAGAGGGTTTTGCCATCCTTACATTTACTCCAGCAGAGTAATCTTCTAGGAAGATAAAATACCAGAGCAACTCAGGGAAGTGCTGAGCAGACAGGCACAAACCTAAAGATGGATATCCAAGTTCAAGACTTTCAAGCCCAGAAAATAAATCAAGATGACAACAGCCCCAAAACATCAGAAAGCCTCAGACTTATGAAAGCCAGGATATCATGAGTGAATATATTTCCAGCTCAGATGTCTGGAGCCATGAGCTGCGTTTCACACTGCACACGGGCTGCTGCTGCCCCCAGCCCCGTCCCCAGAGGGGCACACGGGCAGGTGAGCAGCAGGAGCTGTGGGATGGTGCTCAGGGGAGCTGCTGTGCCCACGCCAGCCCTGGCAGGAGCCCACATCTCCCCCAGGGTTGTGCCCTGGGGCATGAAGCACTCTGCTCAGCAAGGGCTGCCCTGGGCTCAGCCTGGCAGCCTCCTGCAGGGTGATGTGCAGAGCCTCCCTGTGCCAAACACACACCTCTGTTCCTGGAAAATCCTCCTGCAGAGGATATTAAAACTGTCTCTTCCCATTCAGTTCAGGGGCTCTGGAAGCGGAGTGGCAATAAGGCCACATAATAATAATCAGATGTTTCAGGCTGGTGAAGCTCAGGGAGCTCCTGGAGAGCAGCCAGGCTGCTCTCACTCACCGAGGGCAGACGCCAGCTCGGAATGAGGAGCCATGGGAAAAGCCAAATCTCTTCAGTTTTATCTAGAAGTTAAAATTAGGAACCAAACCAAAATACATGTTCTTGGGCAAGGTCGCATTGGTTTAGTTGAGGTTTGGTTTCAGAGGCTGGAATAAAGCACATGAAGATATTTACTGAACACAAACTGTGTTCAGTCGTGGCAGGGAAAAGCCCCTGGAGCCCCATTTTCCTGGCACCTCTCCCAAGCCCTCAGCCCTGTGCCACCCCCTCGGCCAGCCCAGGCACCAGGACCACCTGTGCCCACCTGAGCCCTTCGTTTGTCCAGTCCAAATGCCCAAAATTACAGCAGCCCTACAACAGCGTGGAGGCAAAACTCCATGCAGAGCAGTTTGATGTTTACAGTCAAACTGCAGCTACTGACATTTCAGTTGCAGAGCTGAGAATTTGTGACGTAATTGGGTTTTTTATTCCCTCCTGATTTCTACAGGCTCTGCACAGAGGGGTGCGTGACTCCCCTGAGGGTCTCCTCCCCAGGCCATCGTTTCTCATGCAGTGCCCTTGCTGTCCCTCATGTCACCTTTATTGGCACTGAGCACAGGCTGCCAAGCACCAAGGGCTGGAGAACCGGGAGGAAACTGGGGAGGAGTTCAGGGAATGATGTTCTGAAAGGAGAAGAATCCCCATTAATAAAACCATGGAGTTTTCAGGGTGCCTAAGCTGGAGGCATGGAATAATTAGAAGGTCATACAGTGGCAATCAGTAAAAGTGCACCAAAATTTGTGTTAATCTCATCATTTGATTGCTTCTCTATTTAGATTTACACTAAATATAAACAAGAAAATGGAAGGGAGCCCTTTTGAAATTCCAGCCTCAGTATAAATTCACCATCAGTCACTAAAGCAACTGGAGCAGTACAGGTGCCCCAGCCACTCTGAACTCTGCTTTACACCTCCTACAGATGGGCAGAGTGCTGGGTTATATTCAGAATAAATGCTCAATGAAGTGCAATTTCCATAATTTTGCCTCTATTCCATTATCACACCACTGCTCCCCACTGCTCAGTAGCATTTCCTTAGGCCTTTCACAGGGTACTCTGTTTAAATTACCTTTATAAACCTATTTCTTTGCACACTTCTCACATCATTTTGTATCAGCCTGGCTTGTGCAGATGGAAGGGAAGGTAATTTAATACTGGCATCAAAGGATGGGCAAGAGCTGTGGGTGTTATGACTTTGCTGATGGCACAGGGCTGCAAACACAGCCTGTGACAGGGGTTTGCTCAAAGCTGAGACTAATCACTCAGCCAAGTTCAGCTAATTGCATTGATTAGCTCTGCATCGACGAGCCAGTTACTGGGGAATTGTTTGTGTCTCTCTCCTGAAGCATCCCTTGAGTTTGGGAGACAGTAACAAGTACTCAGAGCCAAACAAAGCTGTTTGCATTTGACTTTTACCCAGGCTTGATCCAGTGCTGGGTGTCCAGGCAACAACTGTAAAAAGCAATTTTAATGTTGAATTTTAACTGCCATAAAGATTCTGGTATAGTGTTTCAGTTTGGTTGTTTAGCAAACATAATTATTTCAAGGATGCACATCAATGTTATTTATTACTCTTTAACTGAGCCCTGGAGGACCTGATCCTGTTCTTCTGTTACTTTTGCAGAGGGAACCTCCAAGCTCTGCTCCTCATGTACAAACACTGACACGAAATCCGTGTGGAATCTGCCTCCACACTGAAATGACAGCTTGCAACAAAAACTGTCTTGCATTTGAGGACTGGGGAGAGCAGCAGTTTGAAATCATCGTCCATCACACAGGAAAACATTCAGCTGTGAGGCTGAGGCAGAACCTTCAGGCATGGGGCTGCATAAACACGTTGGCTGAGCTCCACCATTAAGATTGTCAGAGTAAATATTAAAGAGAGTTTTGTATTCAGCTAAAATAGCTGTTTACAGATTTCTTCTGCTGAAGCCGCACATTGTACAATGAAATGAGAGCTCCAAACCCATTTCTGTTCTAATAACTTTATAAACTCTGCTATATATTTTATGGAATTTGAACGTATGAGTGGTTGGCCCAGAACTCCTTCTGCAGGAGATGATTGGGAGAAACCATTACCATATGTCAGGAGGATGGCAGCGTCCCATCGATACTGGAGAGGATCTCAGCTCAGCCCAGCCCTGTGTTTATACTGTGGCAATATTTCCATACTTCAGATATTGGTACCTCTGCTTGTATAAACAACATTATGGCCATGCTTGTCAAAGACACTTAGGGGATTCCAATGAAAATAAAAGTCAATTTCTTCTTCCATATTTTCAAAAACCCCTGCTCCTGCTAGGCCAGCTCTGCTGGTGAGAGAGCCTGGGCCACCAGCCCTGTGCCAGCCTGGCACAGAGCCCTGCCCCAGCCTGGCCCAGAGCCCTGCCCCAGGGCTTTCTGTGTGTCCGGGAGTGTCCGTGGGACAGGCTGAGCCTGCAGAGCTCACTTGAGGCTTAAGTGTGAGTCTGAAGTAGAAAGAATGAACAGAAATCCTTATTCAACAGTTAGTTAATCTTTTTCCTCTTCCCTTACTCAGTCCTGGCAGATGTGGCTGGAGGGAAAGGTGACTTCCAGTAGCTCCAGGTTTCTGGGGGGGCACTGAGGACCTTGGCTCTGCCCCCTGGCCATGCCCGAGCCCCGAGAGCTCTGGCACCCGATGCTCCCTGCCAGGGTGCTCAGGGTGCAGGTATTTCCTCCTCTGCACATCTCTGTGCTCTTCCCCACGCTGCAGCCCGTGCCAGCCCTGCCCTGGCACAGAGAGGGGCATCCCCGTCCTGCTGCCACAGCACACCTGAGCACGAGTGCCCAGTGGTGCCTAGGACACAGACAGCTGGCTCAGGGCTTGGCTTTGCTGGCAAAAAGGACATTTGCCACGCTAAAGATTAATAGTTACACAAGGGAACCTCTGTCCCCCAATTGCACATGCCACACAAGAACAGGTAGAAGCATTATGCCATGCCTCTTATGCTATGCCACACAAGAACAGGTAGAAGCACTGATTTGGGAATAAAACCTCTATTTAAGAACCCTGAACATTGTCTGGACAAGCAGAACAACTTTTCCTGAGAAACAAATATTGTTCGATGTCAAAAATGACATGGAAGTCGCTTGTGAAGTAATTTTTCAGCAAAGATATGAAAAATGTAATTGGTAATAAAATAGGATGGGAAAGCAAACCCCAAAAGCACCCAAAAGTGCCAGTTCAGACTCTTGAGGAGAAAACAGCTAAAGGTTCCCAAAACCATCAGGGAGGATTCACAGACAGCTCTTCCTTCCAGCAAAGGCAGATGGAAATTCTGAGGAGATGCTTTATTTTGTAAGAAAAATAA